GGTTGCAACCATGCTGGCATCGCAGCCCCCAGGAAAAGGGCAAATATGACCAGTGCTTTTTCCAAGTGCACTGCAAACAACCTACCCACTGTATGGCGTGGAAGTGTTAAAAGCAACAGTGACAATTTAAATCACCAACAGCTCCATCATAAGTGCATGTGTCCAGGTGCCCTGTCTCTGCAGATGTCTTGCTTTTGAGCTGAAAATGTAACATTTTTGTTGAGAAAAGCTTTCAGATCGTGTTAAAAATAGCCTAATAGTAGCTTTGGATTTGACTGACAAGCTAGTCTTTGTTGTGTCATTTTCACTGTAATATTGTCTTAATTTTGACCCGAAGAAACAATGATCTCATTCCTCGGGAGGGAGGACAGAGTGACAAAATCCGGAGGTCCAGTGATGACACTGAATCTCTTCATTGTCAAAGTGTGCTATGAAATCATCTGCCTTCTAGCCAAAACCACTGGGGAGTGAGCAGTGTCCTTCACAGAAAGCAAAATTTGCGTGAGAAGGTGGTGGCATGGAACAGCAACCTTCTTGCCCCCGGGGAGGTGTGCTGCCCCCCGTCCCGTGTTTCTTGCCTCTCCTGGAGTTTGAGGCAAGTTCCTTTTCTTACCTCTGTCAGCAACCACAGCGCTTGAGTGGCCGGAGACTTTCTACGGTCTAGTTCTTTCTATACCGAGACTTCCACGAAAATTCTGCTGGAGGAGTCTCCAACACCAAGGTGTTTCACAGAGTTATTTCGGGAGCTGGGGAGAATGAAATCCCCACTCTGCGTCCCTCTCCTGAACAGGCTTCACTGCCAACCGGGTGGTCTGTACTTCCTGGGATTCTCCATCCTTGCCTGTCTTTGCTAGAAGCCTCCAGTTGGGAGCTGCGTGGGGGATGATCTGATTTAAATAAACAAAACAAAGTTCTCTTTTCATCATTCAGTTGGAACTTTTCTGTTCCTACTCAGCAACACATTGTTTAGAAAAACAGTTCTGTCTTTGGAGAGGCCTTTCTCTGTTATCACTAAAGAAAACGGAAAACAAAAGGATATTTAAAAATAAAGGTTGAGAATATATAGCCGGTGTTTCCATCCAAGTTCAGCTAGCCCTGCATGGAAAAGAAGTTGAACCAAAAGGCTCCTTACAAACATTGCTACTAGTTTTCAAGTAAGTAGCTACAAAAGATGCCATAAAAATTGAGCTATTTGAAAACACATATCTAATAGAAACTGGGGTCTTACTCTTGCTTTCCAATATGACATCCAATCCGTGTGACTTTTCCCAAAGCATACTCTAGTTTGCAAAACACCAAAATTACTTAATAAGGGTTTTGAAACTTCCTGTGCGGCTACATACTTCTTTTTCCAGAGCAGTCATATTGAGCTGTTATGACCCAGATATTCTGTGGGCAAAGCCTCAGTGTGTGAAGTCAAAGGTGGCTCTTGTTATCCAAGTGATCTCAGTGACTGCACCTGTCATGTGGAGTGTAATTGGAAACAGATTTGGACTTCAGTAAGGTTTGCAGAAGAAGGCATGTTTGTAAAGTACCAGAAGGGATGTGGCACAGCATGAACAAGCGAAGAAACATATACTGCTTCCGTAAAAAATGCTGCTGTCTGCAACTGATGAGCAAATTCTTTTTATTTCTGTCATCAAGGGCTGCAGGAGAAACCCACTGGACTATGGAAATCTCTACAGGTCTTAGCATATAGCTAGCAGAGATGAAGAAAAACCTTTACAGGAATATGTCATGTAATCAGAACCCCTTCATCGCTCGCCTTTTACTAAATTGCTGGCTCTAGACAACAGCTGGGAATAAATGTCTTCCTTTCCTTCCTTTCAGGTCTGGTTTTCACGGAAGAAACTTTAAAGAAGTTCAGCATGTGGAAAGCTATCAGCTCCATCACACTAGGCCACATGTCCTCTTTACGGTTTTACTCTGCTCCATATTCTGTGCAAAGGATTAAACCTTAAGAAACAAACCAGCCAAAGAAAGACTTTCCTCGAGACAGAAACATTAGTGTTCCTTAACGGTTCATGTATTTTCACATTTCAGGTAGCAGACCCACTCTCTTCATGCGTCCATCAGCACTGCTTCACAAATGAGGCAGTTTTAGAATTAGGGTCATTACTTCGAAGGGCCTTTGACTTCCATAAAGCACCCCGCCTTGCCAAATGATTGATAACTGTGATAGAAGATTTGGAATTTGATTGCCTTCTCATCAGCAATGTCTTGAAAGAAGCACCAGCTCTAGGAGGAGAGATGTTAGGAAGTAACAGTCATAACCAAGCAGCAGCAACTGGCTCGGGCACTGGATCCAGAAGAGAAACTACTAGAATCTGGATTAACTAGGGGGATCAGATGAATAACCAGTATAAACATTCCATCAGCAGATGTGTAAAAATGTGTGTGATTTGTGGGGCCTGTGAGGAGCCCCGTTAACTTAGGAAGACTTTGAGGAGAGATCAATGTTTCCTTGGATGGGTGAATCACCAGAGGGCAAGGGTAGAGCGTGTGAACGACGCTCAGAAGCAGCCCTGGTATAAACTTCTTGAATGATAAAGTTGCCCTGCTGCATATTCAGATGCTCATTGGGAGGCAGTTTACATCTTGCGAGGCTGAACAGCTCTCAGCTTGACATATCTTAACACATGCTGCCAATTTCTTAAACATCCTATATAGAACCTATATATTGCTTCCATGGGACTTAATGGTACAGTGGACAAAAGCGCATTGAAAGGAGTAAGCCAGTGAGGAAAAAAAATGCAAGTTTTGCTTCTCATTGTCCCATGTGGCACAAATGTCGATGCTGAGACGGGTGTGTAGCACTCCAGGCTGAGACTTAGTGTAAAGAGTTTTGTTGCACTTCATCTGCTATGATAACTCCTTCCAGCAGATCAGCACCCATGGCCTCTGCTAGGGCATCTGCTCATTTGCGAATTACTTTGGTTGTAACAGTGTCTTACAAACATTCTAGAAATACCACCCTACTTAAAGAAGGAAGAATGAGCACAAAGATTTGTCTGAGATCGTCAAACAGTAAGCCTGTAGCAAAGCCAATCTCTTGCAGCCTCTTCTGTGGCTTAAGTCCTAGAGACGAGCTGTGCAAAGTGACCACTCGGATGCATCTTCACAGGATTTTAGCGTGACACTTCTACTGATACAATTAAAATGATTCAATCCGCCTAACTTGGATGCAAGCAAGTAGAGAATTGAGACATCCCAGCATAAAAGTGCCCACAGTGAGCTAATACTAGTATAATTATATTGGTTTCTTTTTTAATCACATTCGTGTCTAACGAAAGAGGAAGCTATCTTATTGAACTTAGGCCTGGCTGCACTGGAAATGGGTACAATTATGACTTTAAGATGTGAGTTTGGGGCTTTTTTTTTAATTCTCAGTATTTGTACACCTTTCCCTTTGCATAGGCCTAAAGTTAATAGACTAGTATTCTCTAAGTTTCTCCCTTACAAAGAGCTAAGCAAGCAGTGTTGGGCTAAATGAAAAGGTACGTGGTATTATCATTCTTGGATTTAGAGGCTGGTTTTGCTTAGGACCTTAAGCACGACTTCCTAGGATTCACTTTTCACTGTAGTTAATTCCTGATACTGAATGCGATTAGCCATGGCCCCACCAAAGAAAAGATAGACTTTATCAACTATTTTATTTTGTCAGACGATAATACTTGAAATTTTATTATTGATCACAAATGTCCACATGTAAATAGTTGATTTTGACTATCTATCTACTTAATTATCATGTTCTCTTAAATCCTACCCCATGAAATTTCGGAAGGTTTGTGGGTTGGCACATGAGGATTTGTCCTATTTTGTGTTTAGGTGGCCTACAAAACTTTCAAGGATCGTGCAGACCATCTCTTAATGTTACCTGCTACTTTACTGCCAGCGTAACAAGTTACAAGGTAAGAATGGTTTTTAAAACGTACAGTTCGATACAGCTCTCTTCATTCAAGTTTCTGTTCCTTCCTTCAGTAAGTGTACTGATAACGCCTTTCAGGGGAGGGCAGTGGTTTGGGATATTATCACAGCAGTGCTCCTCCCAACGTTGTCTGCACCAGTAAAGTAGATATAAACAGCGAAGCAGATGTGAGGGGGTATTCTGTGTGTTCTACAGATGATTCGTACAGGGCAAAGGACTACAAAAAAGTTGGGAGAGGAGCGGCAAGGAAGGACAGGGGAGATGTGGCCCAGGCGGCCGTTTCCACCAGCTCGGCCTGCCCCTGCATCGCTGAGCGCCGGGGGGTCTGCCCGGTCACCCCGGCCTGCTCCTCGTCACCCAGGGGGTTACGGAGAGAACCGACACCTTCCCGTTCCGTGCTCTTACTGAGGATTTACCCATTTCTGGAAAAAAACAACAACAAAAAAAAAGCAAAGCAAAGCACCCCCAAACTACTACGGAACGCAGCAGCGGAAGGCAGCGCCTGTGTGCCAGCCAGCGCCGTACGACGGCTGGAGCCGGGCGAGGGGCGACGGAAAACGCGGGCTCGCCGCTCCGAGCCCGGCGTCGCCCCGCGCCTCAGTTTGCGCGTCTGTGAAATGGGGCGGCGCGACCCGCCGGGGAGGTGCCGGGGGGTGGTGAGCGTGGGTGTGGGTGGGTGGGTGGGTGTGTGTGACCAGCGGCGCCGCCGCTACCGGGAGCGTCGCGGGAGTCGCCCACGGCGCCGGCACCCCTGACGCCGCGGTCCCCGCGCTCCGGGGCGGGTGTGGGGGGGGCACCCCCGGAGCGGCGGGGAGGGGGGGCGGCCCCGGTTGGGGGTGTGGGGGGGAGGTGGGCGGCAGCGCGCGCTCCTGGCGGGCGGCGGCGCGGCACGAGCCGCCGCCTCGGAACTCCGCCGCCCGCCCGGCTCCCTCCGCTCACTTTTATATTTGCGCGCCCTTTCAATCCTCAGTGACGTGTCCCGCGGCGCAGCCAATCGGCGGGGTTCTCTGGTCAGGACAATGGAAGGGCCCCGGCCAATCGGCGAGGCGGCTGGCTTGGCGGCAGCCAATGGGGACGGGGCTGTGTTGAGAGTAATGTTACCAGCGCTGAGAGTGTGAGGAGGCTGCGTATCGATCCCGCTCTCACAGCCATTGCGGTGCACCGGGCTACACAGGGACCCAGGCAGCGCTGGGGCCGGGCGGGCGGCCGGGGTAGCGTCTCTGGGGCTCGGGGCCGAGCGAGGGCTGCTGTGCGGATTCTGACACGGGTGAGTACGCGCCGGGGGCCGGCCGGGTCGGCCGGGCGCGCTCGCCCCGCTCGCTCGCAGCCGGGCGACGAGCCGGCACTGCCCGCCGTGCCGCCGCGGCTGCCTGGCCGCGGAGCGCGGGGCAGCGCGGGCTGGGGCGCCGGCACACAAAGGCAAGCCGGGCTGCGCTTGGGAGACCCTTCCTGGGCGGTGAGCCCCCCCCCCCCCCCTCCGCCTCCCCCCTTCCCACCGGCCGGGGCGGGGCGGGGGCGCCGGGGGGGCGCGGGCGGCGGGCGACTTCGGGAGCGGGGCGGCGGGAGGGAAACGGGCGAAGGAAGCCCGCCCGGGCGCGGGGAGGTGGGCGGCTGGGGGGTCGCCCGCTTCGGGGGTGGGGGGGGGGGGGGCGCGGGCCGCGCCGTCCCTCGCTGTAAGCCGCTTTACGGTGCCTCGCCGTAGCCATCGCTGCGGCGGCGGCGGCGGGGCAGCCGGCGGGCACGGGCGCGGCGAGGCGGCGGGGGGCTCCGGGCGGGCCGCGCCGCGCTGCTGGGCTGCGAGGAGCGGCGGCGGCAGCGGGGCGCGGGCCGGGGAGCCGCTGGCCCCGCGGCCGCCCGGCTGTAACATGGCTGACGGGAGCCGCGAGCGAGAAAACAAGGCGAGCGGCGGCGGCGGAGCAGGGAAGGCGCTCGGGCGGGCGGGGGCGCAGTTCGGGGGAACTTTTTTCTCCAGCCGCTGCCGCTCGCCCGGGCGCGGGGCCCGCGGCCCGAGGGGCTGCACAACTCGGCGGGGCGCGGGAGCAAGCGGGGGGTCCCCGCCGGGGCTCTGCCCGTTCCGCCGGGGCTCGGGCAGGCGCTGGAAGCGCGCCGGCCCCCCCCCCCCCTCACCCACCCACCCACCCACCTCCCCCCCGTCTCCCTCCCGCCCGCCCGCCCGCCCTCCCCCGGCTGCAATGGCTGAGCGTGTGCGCCAGGGTAGCGGGCGCGCTCAACACAAAGGGAAGGGAAAGGGAGGAAGGAGCCATGTTCTCTGCGCGGCGGCGGGCGCGGGCGACGCCAGCAGCGGCCATTCCGCGCCCGCCCAGCTGCCGCCGCTCCCCCGCGGGCCGGGGAAGGGGGGGGGGGGGGGGGTCGCCGCCCGGCCTCGCCGCGGCCCCTCGGCGGGGGTCCCGCGGCCTGGCCGCCCCGCCCGCGGAGGGGGGGGGGGGGGGCGGGGGTGTGGTGGCGGGGGTGTGGGGGAGCGGCTGGCTCTCTTCAGCGCACAAAATGGAAGGAGCCTCGGCGGCGGGTGACCTCCTCCGCCAGGAGCCTGCGCCATGGCGGCCGCTCCCGCCGCTGCGGCGGCGCAGGCCGTGCGGGCGGGCAGGCCGCGCCGCGCCTCGCCTCGCCGGGCAGGCCTGATGGCGGCGGGGGAGCGGGGGAGGCCTGGGCACGGCGCGCCCCGCCGCGGGGGGACCGGGGCGGCGGCCCCGAGGGCGCTTTGTCCCGGGGCTGCGAGCGGCGGCCGGGACCGGGGGTCGCCGCCTGCGGGAAGCCGCAGCCCCGGTGGCCGGCTCCTGGCATGTACTTGCTGCCCTCGCGTGAACACAAAATAAAACTTGCACAGTTTTTTCCCCTAATAACGGGACTCTATTTTTTTTTAATTTTTATTTCTTCCCCTCCTCCTCACCACCCTCCAGCAGGCCTCTTAGGGGACTTCTGAAGTTTTCCTCTGCCCCCCCACACCCCTCACAGGGGAAACGTCCAAAATGGCGGGAAGGAGGCTTTTAAACGCCAGCGCTTGGGTCGCGGTGCCTAATCCTCCCCGCAGTCGTTCCGCGCCCCTGGAGCACCCCTGCCCTGTCCCCCCCAGCCCTCTCCGCCTTCCCCCCCGCAGCCAGCGGGAAGTGCCGCAGCCTCTAGCCGAGCCTCGGGTGCCGCCTGGCCCTGGGAACGTCTCCATGGCAGGCAGGAGCAGCTCCTGGTTCCTCAGCCCTCTTGTTTACTTGATAGAAACTTCAAACCGGACGTGTTTAGTCACAGAGCAGAAATCTGTTTCTGTCTGTCCGCCAAACCGATAGGAAATACTGCTTCTGTGGCAATACGGGCAGGCGGTGCTTGCGCTTTTTTTTATTTTTTTTTTTTCAATTCCTGCTGAAGAGCAGAGTTTGTCAGGGTGCAAGTGGCTTTTTCCAGGGAGCTATGAAGAAATACTCTGAATGTCTGACTTGGGTGTGAAAGTTCCAGGAAGGTATTTTTCATTCCCTCTCAGTCCATGAAAGAGTCAGTCCTTGCGCAGAGCACAGCTTTGCTAGTCATATGTAAATGTCATACTTTTAGCGTCCCTGGCTTGGTTATAACATGTTTGACCGAGTGGGGTGTTTCATTCCTGTATTTCTAGACATACCTACAAAGAGAGTGTAGGGTTTTGCAGTACACGTAAAGGAGAGTGATAATATATGTCATATACAAATAGTAATAAAATAAATACCTTTTGCAAATGAGCACCCAAGGCCTACAGGGGTGGGGGATAGAAATAGGGACTTCAGGAAGAAAAAAAAATAGTAACCCATAAAGCCAGCTGAGACAGGATACTCGGGTACGTTTTTTTCCTCCTTCTCTCAGTATAATTTATTCCTTCCAAACAGGATTGGTACACTAGGAGTAATCAAGGAGTGCAGTTTCCACTGCATTGACGTTAGTACTTGCTTTCTGATTGCTTGGAAGGGACATTTTTGTTTGCAGGAGACTAGAACTGCATGTTTTGAAGGCCCTTTGAGATTTCAGGTTGCTTGTGTCCAGGTCACCTCAAACAGCAATGGTAGAAATCTTCAGTAAGTTTTCCCAAAGACAAACTTCTTCCTGTTCTATAATTTTGGAATACTGCTCCAGCAGCTATTGTTTGGCATTATCTGTCATCATGGTTTACTTCCCACATTGCTTTGTAAAAAGCAAAAGTTTTAAAACTTTTTTTTTTTTTTTTTTGCCTTGTTACAGAAAATCGTCAAAAATGGGCAAAGGTGATCCTAAGAAGCCGAGAGGTAAAATGTCTTCATACGCCTTCTTTGTGCAAACCTGCCGGGAGGAGCACAAGAAGAAACATCCAGATGCTTCAGTGAACTTTTCAGAGTTCTCAAAAAAATGCTCAGAACGATGGAAGGTAGGAATAACCACTTAAAAGAACCACAAAACCTTAAACGATCTCTTTGTGTGAAATACTGTTTGAGACGGTAAATTGTTTCTTTAGAAGTTTGAATTTTAGATAAGTATGAAGTGCAGTTGTAAACTTAGTGCTAACTATGTGTTGTTCTTGCCTTACCTTTAGCTCCCCCAACTGAAATTTTGGAATGGATTTGGTTATGATTTTGAATCTTAAAATACCATTTTGATCCTTAAGGGTCCTGTCCAACTTGAGATATTCTGTGATTCTAATTGCCTTCCAGACTATGTCTTCTAAGGAGAAAGGGAAGTTTGAAGATATGGCAAAGGCTGACAAGCTTCGTTACGAAAAAGAAATGAAAAACTATGTACCGCCTAAGGGTGAAACAAAAAAGAAGTTCAAGGATCCAAATGCACCGAAGAGGCCTCCGTAAGTAGATTTCTACTTAGTTTATCCTGTTCGGGACCGTCATACTGGATTGTATCTATAAAATGATAATTTCATCCTGGTTTAGGAGCTTCAGAAATACAAGACTGCCTGATTTTCCTGACCAGTGGTGTAACGATAGGTTAAAATTTTAGTTACAAATTACAGGTTTGTGTTTTCAGGTTGGCCCTCTTGATCCAAGTTGCAATAATGTCAGCCTTTAAAAGTGGATGCAGCAGTCGGCGACATGCAGTTCTGGTTCATGTTCCCAATTCCTGTTAAGAGGGTAATTCTAGTGTAAAATGGCAGTAAAATATTTCAGTCCCTGCTCTCCCCATCTGTTGGCTCAAGCAGAAATTTTGATTAACAGTCCATTTAAAATTAAGAGGCTTTTGCACAGAACAGGTTAGAGGGATGATCTTGCACAAAAAACAGCTCGGAGAATTGAAACTTTAGCCACTAAGTAAAGACTGCGGACTTCAGGTTCACCTGGCACTGGACACTAGTACTTTGTAGTGATCCGTTTTTGTGTGGAGCTAAAGCTGAAAGGGATGGGGAAGTTCCTGTACAAGTGAATGTTCATATTTGGGCTGATGCTGTCATCTGGAAACACTAATTTTCATAATAAATATTGCAGCTTCTCTGCCTTTAGCAGTTCTGACGTAATGTTTGCTCCCCTGGTATCGTTCACTCATTCTCCTTTTTTAAGATTTTTCTCTGCATATGGTATATAAAACTTGCCCTTCTGGGGGTCCGGCCAAAAATAGGACCAGATGTGCGGCATCTTAAATCCTTACTTAAAAGACAAGGATGTGTTAAGTTTCTGAAGTTCTTTCTTCAGTTCTAATACCTTCCATTGTAATTAATGTTTAGGTGCTTTTCCAAAGTGTTCCTAAGAAACAGTAAGAAAGGTCATAAAACTTTCCGTTAAAGTCTAAAATTAAATGATCTTCTCTTTCTATGTTGTTTGGTTTTTGTTTTTTTTTTTTCCCCCCCCCCTCTGTAGTTCGGCTTTTTTCTTATTTTGCTCTGAGTTTCGTCCAAAAATCAAAGGGGAACATCCTGGTCTGTCCATTGGGGATGTCGCAAAGAAACTGGGAGAGATGTGGAACAACACCGCTGCAGATGATAAACAGCCTTATGAAAAAAAGGCTGCTAAACTGAAGGAGAAGTATGAAAAGGTAATGTCAACATTTGTGGAGATGGTTTGGGGAGGTCAAGCCTCAGCTGAGATGTTTTTTTCCTTCTTGTGTACTCTGATACCTGGTGTTAGCAAACTATAATATGCTCATGACAAATTTCATTATAGTTGTTGGAAAACATCGTGTAAGGGAGCATGCGGTTTATTACTGTAACACTAAATTGCAGCCCTTTGTGTTGAACTATTTGCATTAATCTGTAATTCAGGACCATCAATGATGGTTTAATAGATACCGTGGTGTCTGTATTGTTATTAAAACAATAGGTCACAGGAGTATCTGCGTTAAATTGGTAGTATTAAGTAATGCCACTAAAGAATTAAGTCGGTTCTCCCTAACTTTGGAGCTATTGACGAGCATCCCTGAACATTAGGGTAATGGATACACAGAGATGCTTTTTTTAATTTAGTCTCGGGATAATGTCAGAACACTAACGAAGTGCTCTCTTTAGACATGTGTTTTTCCTGTCCCTATTTTGTGTCCTTCTCCTTTCTAGTAATTAACATAGTTAATAATACATAAGAAGCCGCATGTCATGTAATTTCTTGAATTATTAAAGCTAAATCCCATCGTCATAATTGGAGCTCTAGAAATGTGTTGCACACACAGGGCAGTGCTACCTGTGTTTTTATTTCCAGAGGCAGGTTCCTATCCCAATAAGAGGAAAGTAAGGGAGGAGGGGGACATATGTTAGCCTCCCCTGATGATGCTTTTACAATGGGTCAGCAACCACCTCTAGCTAACGTGTACCATGTATATCCGTTTGTGTGCCGTGACCTTCCTTGGTGTGTTTCTCCTGCTGGCAGACAAAAAAACCACTTCAAAATTGTAGCATTGTAGTGAGCAAGGTGGCCCCTTTGGGTCCTAATTATGTCCTGGAGGGGATCTGCAGGTCTAGAAGCTTTCCCATGTTGCAGCTTAAATTCTTCAGCATGGTAATTGTTTGTACATACAGCCAAGACAACTCATAAGAGACTTCTAAAGTGGCAGAATTACTACTCTTTATTCCCAGATATTTTAACCTTCACCAGTAGTGTTTTTACTTGTTGTGCTTACAAATGGGGCTTTAAGGTGCAGTAATTTAAGTATTTCACTGTGTGGCCTTTGACTCAGTGGATATCATATCTTCTGAAAATTTCATGTTAAGTGTTAAGGGAGTCTGAGGGAACTGTAAGATTAGTGGTGTGATGTTTACTGGGTGGGGAATATTTGAAGATTTGGACCATCTGTGTCAAGGTGTTGACGTTTCTCTGTAGCTGGTATGTTTAAGTCTTGCAGCTCAATTCTGTTACGTAGTTGTTTTTATTATTTTGGCACAAAGTTGGGAAGTCTAACTGTTTTTTTTGACCTGGTCTTCCAGGTACAGTTTTGACTTCCCTATAACAGGAACTGATTTTGTGCGTTATAAACGACTAGAATAAATTTATTGCATGCAGAAGGTGGCACTGTCTACCCTTTAATCAAGTTCTTATACCTTTTATTTTGTAAACTTCAGTTAGGCAGAGTTCTGTATGATTGCTCTTCGCTGAGGCATAGCATTGCAGGTATTAGGCCATGTCGTTCCTAATGTGTTTGGGATGGCTAATTACAGTTTTGTGCTTCAGACAAGGGTTTTCCTGTGCGTTTCTTCAGGCATTGTAGAAGGTAGGGCTAGAAAGGGTCCTTAGGAATCTCCCTGCCTCATTTCCTTATGGGTGTCCACGGCTCAGCTGTGCCTTTACCATCCAAGGCAGCAGTTTTTCCAGCCTGTTCCCAGAAGCCTAATGGCAGAGATTCCTCAACAGCCGTAAGCAGCGTGTTCCGATGCGCCGGTATCGTTACTGTGTCGGAGGGTTCCCCTTTCTTTGGCATTGGGCCTCAGTTCACCTTGTAACTGAAGCCAGAGCTCCCGCTCCTACCCCCGAGGACGCGGAGAAGGGGCAGGTACTGGGGTGGCTCTGGTTTCACCTTTGGAAGTTGCTCAGAGCTCGTAGCTGGTTAAATCTTTGAGAGATTCTTCCTGCTTTTCTCCTCCAAGGATATTGCTGCATACCGGGCCAAAGGGAAGGTTGATGCAGGCAAAAAAGTAGTTGCCAAGGCTGAGAAGAGCAAGAAGAAGAAGGAGGAGGAGGAAGATGAGGATGAAGATGAAGAGGATGAAGATGATGAAGAGGAGGAAGAGGAGGAGGATGAAGATGATGATGATGATGAATAAGTCTCTTTTAGAGAAATTTCTTTCTGTCTATAAAGCATTTAACCCCCCTGTACACAACTCACTCCTTTTAAAGAAAAAAAAATTGAAATGTAAGGCTGTGTAAGATTTGTTTTTAAACTGTACAGTGTCTCTTTTTTTGTATAGTTAACACACTACCGAATGTGTCTTTAGATAGCCCTGTCCTTAGTGGTATTTCAATGGCCACTAACCTTGCCTGGTACAGTGTGGGGGTTGTAAATTGGCATGGGAGTTTTAAAGCAGGTTCTTGTTGGTGCACAGCACAAATTAGTTATATATTGGGGATGTAGTTCATTTTTCATCTTCAGTTGTCTCTGATGCATCATAAAAATAATTGTTGTTATGTTAACTGAATACCACTCTGTAATTGCAAAAAGGAAAAAAAAAAAAGTTGCAGCTGTTTTGTTGACATTCTGAATGCTTCTAAGTAAATACAATTTTTTTTTTTATTAGTATTGTTGTCCTTTTAATAGGTGCCCTTGAAAAATCATACTTTTTCTTTTCTCTCTCTTTTTTTTTTTTTTTTTTTTTTTTTTTTTTTTTTTTTTTTGAGGGGAACTCATCTTTTGCTTTATTGAATGCCCGTATGGGATCACGGGAATATTACAGTTTTCATCTTTCATATAACCAGCTGATAAACAAAGCTTTGATCTGCATACCCTGCATAATCATGATAGGGTAAGAAAAGAAATATATAGGCATATGATGAAAGAATATTCTTCCGTAACTGGAAACAAAACAAAAAATTCAATCTCAACAAGCTGATATTTGTTCAGATTTTTGTGAAATGTAATATTCTATTGAGTTGCATGAGTTTACCAGTCTTGGAGAGTTGAGAAGTATAGAGTTCAATTTTACAGAAATTAAATACTTGGGGGGGGTGGGGTGGGGTCGGGGAGGGTGGGGAGGGGGAGATGGGGGCAGGGAGGGAGGGAATGTTAAATTTTGTCCTAGAAGGACCCATAGGAAGAGTGTATGTCCATCCGGTGTGGAGAAATTTACAGGTGTGACTCCGTTACCATGTAATGGAAGTTGTATTTGTAAATCTCTGAACACTTGTGAGCGATGAGCGTACCTAAAATGTGTAAAGTTAAAAGCATGAATTTACCATATTATTTTTTGGTGACAGGTCTGGTGATGGCCACGGGCTTTATACCATGAAACTCTCCTGGTAGCAAATGGCCCACGAGAAATGATTTTTCTTTCTAAGATTTCTATAAATGGTACCATTATTATTTGTTAAATCTATGTAAATTCATATTTGTATTCTTGAAATTCTAGTTTTAGCCCTTTAAACAAAGTTGTATATTGTCTCAAATTGAAAATGAGATAAGATGTATTTTTCCTGTTAGGTTTTATACCGCACTCTTGATGTTTGCCCATTTTTAAGTTAAATATAGCTGTATGGAAAAGTACATTTTATTAAATTTTGCATTAAAAAGTGAAATGTTTATGGTATACCAACAATGTCTAATTTGGTCAAATATAGTTCTCTTCCAAAACCAAAGCTAAGGGGTTTTTTTGCATATTTAGTAAAACTTCAAGTGCTGGCAACTGTAACTATTTTCACATATACCTGCTTACCAGTTTGGGGGACAATTTGGCAATTTTGTGGTTACAAAGTTATGGTTCTCTTAAGTGCCAGTGTTTTAAAAAAAAAAAAAAAAAAAAAAAGCATTCTTGTAATTTTACACGCTTTTGTGATGGAGTATTGTTTTGTTATACAATTTTGACTTTCAGATTCTTATTTCAATTTGCATTTATGTATAACTTCAGGAGAAATATTGAACATCTGAATCCTGGATGATACTAATAAACTAATAATTGCAGAGGTTTTAAATACTTAGTTAAATGGCTCACTTAATATCCTAAGGGTTTGGGGGCTTTTTTCGTGTGTTGGTGTTTTCAGGTATGTACATCCCTGCTTTCTGTTTCAAACAGAACGATGGTGCTTCACAAGGTCTAGATCTAGAAAGCTTAGGACAGATAGATTTTCTTTATTTTTTTTTTTTATTATTATTTCTTAAACTGGATATTACCCATTCTAAATGCTCGTAACCGATTACAGATAAATTTTCTGTGCTGAAGGGTTTTTCTGTTTCCCCAGGTCATCAGAGGAGAGTAGACACAGTTCTTGTTCTTGGAACAAACATGCTTAATGAGATCCCTATAATCTTGCGCCTTTGTTGTCGGTGCTTGGTGCTGACAGAAGTAACCTAGAGGATTCAGCTGATCTTAAAAGATGAGCAGCGAGCACTTGCCCCGGCAGCCAGGCACGGCCTTTGCCTTTATCTGTGGGGTTAGCACGTTGCTAACAAACAGAGCGTGCTGGAGGCTGGAGAGGGTATGTAATTCGGTAATTATCAGCGCTGCTTTCTGAGGAGGAGCCGCCCTGGTCCAGCGGCTGGTGGTGGCTGGGCGGGGCGCTGGAGCTCCCCGGGGCGGCTGGCGCTTTCGCGAGCACTTGGGCACGTGCCTGTAAATCCCAGGAGCTTGCACACGCGGATCCGACCGAGGTCTTCGCTCGTGTCTTCTAGAAAACTTAGAAACAAACCGCTGTTTCTGGAGGGCAGTACCGGAGCTGGGTTAGATTCATTCTCCTTTTAAGAGAAAATGAGCTTCTAAGAGTAGTTGCTGGAAAGGATCTCCCCATTCCCTGGCTGAGGTCCCCTGGGAGCTCCAGCAGTTAAACAATCCTCTCGGTCAGAACTCTTGATTCTCAACGTCAGTAGGTCAGACTTGACTACCACAAGATTGCTTATTCTGAGGTCAGTTATTGCCAGCGCTTTTGCTTGAAGCTGCCCCCCCCGTGATCTTTAAAAGTTGTTGCTTGCTGAGGGACAATGGTAAAATTGCAAGCGTTGGGGCACTGGTTCCCCACAAGGGAACTGGACAGCACTGGCATCGCTGTTGAAACAAAAATCATTTCCTAAGGGCTTTAACCTTCACGTAAATGCTTGATGTAGAGGAAAAAAGGCTTTTCCTGTTCCAAACCAAAAACCAGGATTGGTTTGGAGGGAGTGTGAATGTTAGTAAGCGGTAGTTACGGTATCCTGAATGCTAAATGAAGCCGTACAGATCGGACAGTTGTTTATCACAAGTTGTGTCTGAAAGGAGCTGCAGTTGCAGCCACCTGCTTTCTAGGCATGCTCTAATTTTAAACCGGTATAACTAAATGTACGGACAGCGTTCATCCCTTCTGCTGTGCTTCTCAGTGATCGTACTGACTCTAGCAAAAAAAAAGTTAGGCTTATTTAACACAACATTTCTGCCCGGGCCCCTAGAAATCTGAAGTCACCAGTATCAAGTGGCTGTAAAAGATTCTGCAGCTTAATGAGGGTGACAGTGGCACTGCTGGCACTGAGCCCCTTTACAGCTCCTTTTATCGGTGTGATGAGCCCATCCCGAAGGAGAAAGGGCTGAGTCACAGCTGGGTTTAGGCTTGCTAGAAAGCGGGAAGATGGGTTGGAAGGACTCGGCTGGAAGAGGAGCCGGGCGGACGGCAGTGGCACTACGTTCTCTAGATGGGTGACAAGCTGAGCTTGGGAAAAAAAAAAAAACCACAACTTTCCCAATTCTTGCTAGCTTAAGGGTTAAATCTGCTAGTTAAAATAAACATTCCCATTCTGCTTTCCCAGCTACAGCTGACAGGAGATTAAAGGAATAAAGCCGCTGTGCTGTGTTGGGTTATAAGACGTTATTCAATACCAAGTCTGTAACAGAGACATGACAGAATACAAAGATAGTATTTAATACAAGAGACGGTTAATTTTCACCATTTCCAGGCTCTGCCAGTAGGAGCTGGCCAGCTACAAGCTTTTAGGACACAAACGTACCAATCGTTTCATTAATAACAGTAAAATGCTAAGTATTTTCAAACAAAGTTTCTTCGTGACATTCTTTAGCTTACCATCAGGCTATACTTGACTACAGAACACATCTTTTTGGGGCTGCTTTAGAAGAAAATAACAGTGTGTGACATTTTCCTTTGGCAGGCTATGATAGACATTATTTTAGCTCCTGAAATACGTTAAGGGACGTTCTACAAACGTGCTAGTCCAATGCGGTGCCTAAACGTGGGTGTTTATCAAACTTTTCTCCAGACTTTGCTACTGGATTGTACCCTACATCTGAAAAACACTTTGAGATTATATTAATCTAGGCTAGAATAGGTTTGCTTTAAATTAACACCAGCCTTTATTCCAAAATAATATAGACAAGCTGTCAGACTTTCTTCCAATGTTTGAGGGAAAAAATAGGAAAAGTACATCTCTGAGAGTTTTATATCCTTCTGCAGAAGTTGTCTTATATTTTTATTTTGTGTATGTTGTGCCTCGGCTTTTCTTTTGACAGTGCTTCAAGCAGAAAAACAAAGATGGATTTTTTTTTCCCCCAATGAATTTATTATTAAGAATGAAGGTCAGATCGCTCTTACGGCTGCGTTGTGCTGTTGAAAAACACAGCGTGGCTTCTGCTTTGAGAGCACCTAATTTTGAAATCCATCTTGCTGAAGCAATTGCTGTTAGAGGTGACCTGCAAGAGAGACAAGCCTTCCCTTTTGCCACTTCACGACGGAATAAAAGACTTAAGCTGTAAATTAACTTAGTCTACCTGTTTGCTACCTCAGAAGCTCAAGCCTTCCCTGCAGCAAGGAGGGCTCGAGATCCAGCGAAGCGGTGAGACGCCGGAGCAGCGAGGAGCGAGCAAAATGGGCAGGTGTGGGTTGTTTAGCTACACCTTTTCAAATCTTGCTTATACTGTTAAAACGCGTTTGACTTAAATGACGGGCGTTCGGCACAAAGGGAGCTCATCCGAATGCTTCCAGCAGCCTTTTGTCTATTAAGGCGGCAAAAGCTCAAATCGCCCATTTCTGACCTTCCAAAAGTTCTTCAGTAAAAAAACAGGAAAGACCAAACGCTACAGCCTGTGTGGCTGGAAAGGACCCAGCTCCCCGCACACCTTACAGCAGCAAGAGGTCATTCAGAAAGCCAGGCTTATCGAGGGGAAAGGGAGGACACGTTCTGTGATGTTTGGCGAGTGCATTTGTTACCGAGGCTAAAAAGCACATTTTCGAAGCAATGTCTGGGAAGAAATTCCAGCTGAGGCGTGACGTCCCTGACACCCCCCTCTGCTCCTTCGCAAACCGAACCGCGGGAAAGCAACACCAGCAATGCCCTTCTGGGAATAAATTCTCCCTTGCCGAAGTGCTGGGGTTGATCACGTTCTTCCTCAGCCTTCCCCAGGGGGGGAAATGCCTGTTCCCTGAAGAAAACCCACTCCAGGTGACGCAGGCTCGCAGCAGCGTGGTGGTACCGACGGCAGCCCCCCCTCCTCGGTGTTGGGAAGATGTTGTGCGTGGAAGCTGCCGGGGGGAAGGACGGCGTGGGGAGGCCGAGCAGGCTCCTGCCCACGGCCACGCCGTGCAAGAGCGTTAAGGGACGGGTCGCGCCGGGCTCTCGTGCCCGGGCTTGAAATGGGACACGCAGGGGGAGCGGCGCGCCGGGCTGCAGGTGGGGATCGCGGGCACCAGCCCTGCGAAGCCTCAGCTACGCAGTAAAAAGCAAAATCACAGTGCTGCTTTTTTTTTTTTTTTTTTTAAAAAAAAAAAACAACCCCAAAACCTCTCAATTTTGTGATTCCTAGAAGAGATAGCTTTCTCGCAAAATGTGCTTCAGTAAATGATTGAATACAGTGACTCACGTTTTATTATCAGGCTTGACTGTAGCCGAGCTTACCCTCGTTTTAGTTCTGTTGACACACGTTTCTGCTGACGCCTTCCAATAAGACGCTGTGAACAAACACTTGTGAAGCTGATGCTGGAAAAGGCGGTGAGGGTTGATCACAGCTCGAGCCTTCGGCACGGGAGCAGCTTTTACCGCAGGTTCTGTGCACGGGAGGGTTCGGTTTTGCTGTACCAGCCACCGATGGCAAAGTGCTGGTGGGATTCTGCTCGGGGGGGGGGGGCTGGCAGGTGCAGCACCCACCCGGGTGCCGGGGTGTTTTGCAGGACTGACCCATCCTGCTTGGGGCTGGTGGCTTCTCCCAGAGCCAGAGGCCGAGATGTGTGAGAGGCTGCCGGAGAACCCGCCTGCGAGCGAGCCTCCTTCCAACGCCGTTTCCTTTGAGGTGGAAGAAGGAAATGATCTGTTTTGGGGGAAAACGTTTGTACCAGATGTTCGGCGACGGCAACGCCACCTCGGGTGTTGCAGGATCTGCCTCCTTGCCTGGGGGTCTCCCGGCAGTGCCCCTGCCCCCCTTGCCCTCCTCGGCATCCCCTGCTCCGGGGAGGGGGGTAGGAGCGAGTCTGCCTCCCCCCTCCCCGGCTGCTGGGAGCTGGATCCCTGCTCCCCAGGTCGGACGGGAGGGTCGTCCTGCTGCCCGGCCACCCCCAGGCCATCAATGCTATTCCTGTGGTGCCAGGGTTGCTCGGGGACACCCCACCACGGCATCCCTAATGCCAGCAGCGGCTCCCCCCTTCCACAGACCCAGAAAATGGGGGGAAAAACCATAATGCTGGTGGTGCCACAGCGTGCAGCATCCTCGGGATGTGCTACAGCTCAGGACTGGTGTCCCTGGTCCACCAGCCTCGGCGCTTCTCTGAGTCCCCTCTCCCTACTGCCACGGGTTTTTCTTTCCATCTGAACTATTTAATGTGACTTTGGAGCACAATGGAGCTGTGATTTTTTTTCGAAGCCGCCAGCCTGCAGGAAACAGAAGGTCTCTGAATAAAAGGGAGGCTCTTGTTACAACTTCCCTCTTATTTACTGTTCCCAGTAGCAGCGAAGTAAAAAGACAATGAATGAAATGGAGGATTAATCACGCGTAGCGCTGAAATATAAA